TTAATCGTTTCTTTTTCTCCGGATATAGTTTGTCGCGAGACTTTTATTTTGATGATAATTAAATTTATATAGTAATAATGACTTAAAAAATCGAGCTTAACCTTTGATGATTTCAGGCAAAGTTTGAGAGGATAGACAGTTTTAATCAAGTGCAATAATTTAGTCTAATAATTACCTCTGCGATAAGCAAGGGTAATGCAAACGGGTATTAGACTTTTTCCGTAAACAACTTTGTACACAGGAATCTTCTGGACGCATATCTACCCTGTTTCATATTATGTTCAAGTTTTGTAGCGGTGTTCCCGGTCAATTTAGTATAGAGGTAACAAATATGCCTGGGACGTCAAAGTTCGCATCTGACCAGGACCTGTTTTTTTTTAACTTGAAATATTCTGCTTCAAATAAAATTGTCGGCCAATTATTTGTCTGCTTACCTGTTGTTGGCTAAATTGTCTTAATGCACGTGCTCGTGTTTTCCTGCGCTTTTTCATTTTTTTATTAGTCTTGGATGTACGCCTACATAATGTAATTTTTTTCAACTTGACTTCGTTTTTCCTTCTTTTTTTGTTTCGCTTAAAGTAATTACTCTGCAAAAATTATATCGGCCTTTTTTATGGGCCTAACGACCTAACTTTGGGCCTTTTTGATTAAAAAAACAATTTTAGTTCTGCTTTTTGCTTTTTCAAGTTGATTGATGAATTTCCATTTTTTTCCGTTTCGGAGAATTTTTAATTTTTTTTCAACTTATCCTGATTTTTAATTATCCGGAGAATTTTTAATTTTTTTTGCAACTTAGCCTGATTTTCGAAAAATTTCGAAGATTTAGTTATCGATAGAAAAACCGTTTTTTTCTCTTTGTGCCTGCATACTCCCCAGAATGTTTTTACCTGAGCCCTTTGTCTACAGCCTCCGAAAAAGTGTGTGGGGTAATTTTTTGCCCATGTTTTTTTTTTGTTATCTCGAAACTTACTTCTCTCAATTGTGAGTTTTTGATGACAATGAATTGAACTGTTTTGAAAAGCTCCCCTGCATAAGTGGGTATGACCGATTTTTTTGCACATAAAGTTAGGGCCCTCGGAATAATCAAAATTTTGATTTTTGACCGTTTTGCGAATCTTTTCGACTTTCCTCAAAAACAACCGTTTAAATCTGATATTGTGGTTTCATTGAGATAATGGCTTGTGGGTAGCTCGTCTGCATTAGTGAAAAGAAACAAAAAAGTTACCAACAAAAGTCATCGCCCTCTGAAAGTCAAATGTTTGATTTTTTGACAGTTTTGAGAAAGTTTTTGACTGTTCTCCGAAACTAACCGCACGAATCTGAGATTTCGTTTCAAATTGAAATAACAGTTGCGTGTTGCGTGATTTCCTTCTGCATAATATTTCTTTTTTTTTAACTCAAAAAGCTATGATTCTCGGAAGAAAAGTTTTGGATTTTGGTAAGCTTTTTTTCAGAACTTTCGACCGTTGTATGGAAACTTTTTAGTTTTTCTTAAAATTTACCCAATAAATTTTGAGATGAAAAATTCTATTGAAATAAAGAGTTGCGATCATTGTTTCTACAAAAGCGGCGTTTTCTATAATTTTTTGTAGGAGAAATCTATCTCCTAGGGAAATTTGATTATCTTAAAATTTCCTCTTCCCACTTTTTAGTAGAGAAACAAATAAGGTTTTTTGCAAATCCATCTTTTGAAATCACACTTTTAGTGTCCATTATTTGTTTTTCATCGCGACATTTCAGTTTCTCATCGCGACATTTAGTTGGGCTCGTCTTTGTTTTTCATAGCGACGAAAGTTTCGGTTCACCTAGTTTTTTTCAACATTTGAATTTTTTTTTTGTTTTTTATGTTTGTGTTGCTGATATTTTTTGAAAAAATTTTGAGGAACTCTTAAGTTGAGTTCAATACCATTATAAAAGTGGACAAAAGGAAATTGGAAGTATGCTGAAAGCTATCTCAAAAACCCACAAAAATTCTGAAAATAATGTTTTCTTATTTTGAAAGTGACTTAAGGAACCTGAAATTTATGTTGTTTGAAAGACAAAAATTGATTTAAAAAATCAAGAAAATACAGTATTAAATAAAAGCAAATCTAAAAATTGGAATTAATTTCAGTCTCAGAGAGAGAATTTCTCAGATAAAAATTTTAAGAAGTTTCTTGAACAAAATAAAAAGAAAAACTACTTCATGCAACCAATCAAGTGTAATTGATCTTTTTTTTCATCCTGACAAATCTTTAATTGTTTTAGCCAAAGGTGAGAAGGATAAAAAAATCAATTAAGAACAATAATTTTTTCTGAAAATATTCTTCTGTCAATTGATTTCTTCTTTGCTCTCGGTAATAACATTCTGATGTCCGAAATGTTTTTTCTTTTTAAGATATCGGAACAAATATGAAAAAAAAAATTTTGTTTGATAAAAATTTGAGAAAATCTAAAGGATTTGGAAAAATTGCTGCTTTTTGAGTTGATAGTCAAGTGTTTTGATTTTGATGCCAATTTGAGAGGAAAGTTCGAAGTTGATGAAATTTTCAAAGCAAATCTCCGGAAATCTTGTTTTTATTCTTAATTGATATGCTTGATGTAAATGGGTTTTTTAAAAGAAAGTTAGAGCATCATTTTTTTCAGCTTCTATTGAGGTTCTTTTATGAAAGTTGTTTGAAACTTCAGCATTCATTGTTTTTTTTTACTCTCATTTTGATCTAGTTTATACCAAATGTTCTTGTTGATGTTTACAGCGAATTTTTTTGTACGCTCTGCATTTTGCTTGGTCGCAAAATTTTGACAAAGTTTTGTGTACATCTAATAACTTCTGGATCATGATTTGAAAAAATGAGCGTTTCTTTCTATGGGTTATTTGTTTAGCATGTGGTGCGAAACTCAGCTTCGCCTCCGTGTTCATATATCTTTTAATAATTATTATCAGTAGTGTAGTCGGAGTATTTCATTGTTGCAAAGCGGAAAAATTGAGTCGCTGATTGGTTCCAACTAAAAGTTTCATCCCGTTCAAGCTTTTGTTTTTGCTCACAAAAAATAAATCCTGCTTAATCAGTTCTTTTTCCCCTGGTTGAAATTTGTCATGTCATTTTTGTCTTGATAACTATAAAGTTAATGTGCTTTTAAAAAATGTTTGTCGCTTATGTCTTAACTTGTGGGAGTTAATTGAGCAGTATCTTTGAGATGATTTTAGACAAGTTTTATAGTGAGAAAGAAATTCAATTAAGTACATCAATTGTTTCTGGAGTTGTATCTATTACAAATTGTTTTTTTTTTATTTTCTCTCGGAATTGAATTTCTGACGTCAGAAATAAGTTTATTTGAAGATAACCGAAAAATATCTGAAAAAAAGATCCAAAATTTGAGCAAAAAGTCAAAAGTTGATTTACAAAAATCATAATTCTTCAAATGTGAAAAAAGACAAAGAGAAGATGAAAAGAATTTTGTTGATACAAACTTGAAAAACTTATGCGAACTACAGAATCCAATAGCTAACAATTCCAAAACCCCAAACTAATCTGTATCTGAAATACGTTAATAAAAGTTTAAAAACAACGTTCGAAGATTTTTTGAACAAAACAAAAAAGAAAACTCGAAGAACTCAAAAGTATTGCCAATAAAATATTTAATTTTCCTTCTTTGCTTTTCTTCCTTGATGGTGTTTGCTATGAAGCAATATTGTTTTCGATTGATGAGATTGTTTTCCCTATAAACTTCGTCCACAAAATGGTTAAAAGCAGAAATGGTAACTTTAGGCTCATTTCTTAATGAAACAAAGTTTTCCGAAACAATTTCTTCGAGTTTGAAAGTTGTCAAAATTCTCAACAGTTTGCTTCCCAAAAAATGCATAAATTGTTTTCTCAAACGTGCTCAAACAATTATATATTGTTTAATCGTTTCTTTTTCTCCGGATATAGTTTGTCGCGAGACTTTAATTTTGATGACATTAAAATTTATATAGAAATAATGACTTAAGTAATCGAGCTTAATCTTTGATGATTTCAGTCAAAGTTTGAAGAGGATAAAGAGTTTTAATCAAGTGCAATAATTTAGTCTAATTATTACCTCTGCGATAAGCAAGGGTAATGCAAACGGGTATTAGACTTTTTTTCCGTAAACAACTTTGTACACAGGACTCTTCTAGACGCATGTCTACCCTGTTTCATATTATATTCAAGTTTCGTAGCGTCCCCGGCCAATTTAATCTGGAGGTAACAACTATGCCAGGGACGGCAAAGTTTCTGGGTTCGAATCTGACCAGGACCTGTTTTATTGAACACAATGAAGACTTTTATAAAGAGGTCTGGGCGATTTATGATTTTTTTCCAAGTAAAGTTTCTACGTTTGTTCTAGCTCAAATTTGGCTTTTGCTCTAGGACTTCTGTTTTCTTCTCCAGTCCAGTTAATTTCCTTTGTAAAAAGGAAGGAAAACTCAAGAATCGAAAAGCGAAACTGTGAATCTCTCATAAAACGTAATCTTCTACTAATTTCGAAAGTGGATAATAATTTTCAGTTTTTCCGGCGTAATAAAACCTTTAACTATTTATCCAGTTTTCTCAAATTGGGTCACGTTTGTCAAAAAAAAGTCACTATTAAGTTGAGCTGGATTTCAAAGAGCTTTAAGGCCGTCTATTTTTTTCTTTGAGTGCCGACAAATTAGTTTCTTTCAAAAAACAATTCAGTCTGTTTTTTCTGTTTACTTGCGTCAATTGAACCTTTTCCCAAGTTTGTTTGCTAGTTTTTACAATTCCAAATGCTGTTGGTGAAACTTCTATTACTGAAGATAATTGATTTTTTTCGTACTTTGTAACCAGTTGAATTTTGTTCGTCAAAAACAATTTTATAGGGTTTTTCTCTGTTGATTCATCTGCTCGTAATCTTAGTCATCGTAAATAGTTTCTGGGCGTTGAAAATAAACGATGTGAATATCCCCATAACAGACAAAAAGTACAGTGCTGTTTATCTCATTTCAAATTTATGATGGACAAGTTAAACTGGATGTTTAGGGAACCCGTGATATTGAGCCTCATCAAATGGTTGTGCGTGAAAAAGTTATGGGTAAAATAATTGAGGTGTTCAAGCGACACGGAGCAGAGAGTATCGATACCCCTGTTTTTGAACTAAAGGTGAGACACTTTGTTAATTAAATTTGTTTGAAAAGTTGTTTTCACCCTTTTCTTTTTTATTTGACAGGAAGTTCTTACTGGTAAGTACGGCGAGGATTCAAAGCTAATCTATGACTTGGCTGATCAAGGCGGTGAGATTCTTGCTCTGCGCTACGATTTGACAGTGCCTTTTGCTCGCTATTGTGCAATGAATAAGATCAAAACAATCAAACGATACCACATCGGCAAGGTTTACAGACGCGACAACCCTGCAATGTCACGCGGAAGGTTCCGAGAATTCTATCAATGTGTTAGTTTATTCATTTCAAGATGGGACATCCAAAACGTATGTTTACACATGCATACTTGCGACAGTAGTATTATATTACGAACCCCATTTTTTCTGACACAACTCGCAAATAAAAGAAGTTCTCATTTGTGGAGCTTAAGCTGCATAGCGTGGGCAATTCAATATCATTTGTTCTCTCTGCTTTGTTGATGACTAGTGTTGGTCTTGCGAGGACCTCTTCAGTTTTTTTTTCAAATTCGGTTTAAACCTTTTTTTTGTTAATTAGTTTTTAAGAGTACATTAACGTAGTTCAGACTCTTATATAGGTCGTGATGATTTTTTTCCTATTTTCTCCAGCAGATTAAAAGAATAACCGCTTGATGCAGTTTTCTGAAATTGGGTTAGTTTCCTGTGAAAAGTGGCAGTGATAGAAGATTGTTGCAATTGTAAGAGCTTTAAAGGGATTTGTTCTCTGTGCAGATTGTTTGGTTCATTGAGGCCTCTGTGTTTGATTGTCTGTTAGGATTTCGACATAGCGGGACAGTATGAAGGCCTGCTGCCTGACTGTGAGTGCATCAAAATAGTGTGTGAGATTCTGGACTCGTTAGATGTGGGCTGCTACTGTGTGAAGATCAACCACAGGAAACTGCTGGAAGGGCTGGTTGTGGGGGTGTGTGGGGTGCCTGCTGCCAGCTTCAACTCCATCTCTTCCTCCATTGATAAACTGGACAAGCAGCAGTGGGAGGAAGTGAGGGAGGAGATGGTGAAGGAGAAGCAAATGCTCCCTCACACAGCCGACAAAATCGGCACTTTTGTTCAGCTGAAAGGCAAGTGGAACACAAACACCAACACCATACAGCCAAGCAAGCCACAACTACTGCACACACACTCACCTCTCAATCAATCTAGAAGTATTCCAATGCACGCAATTAATCACAGAAATCAGGTGCCATCGTGCATGTTAATGTTCAACTTCAGTTTTTGAACGTGCTCCAAAATGAACAATTTTAAGCTGTTAAATTGTCGTCTCGTCATTGTTAAAAACACGTCAGTGAATTTATCTTAAAAACTAGTTGAACAAAGCTTTGCTTTTTTCAGCAACGCAAGTTGAACTGTGCGTGGAATGGAATACTGTTCTTAAAAGATAAAACTGCGGAATAAATAATCAAGTAAAACACTAAATAAGATTTGCACTTGTTTTCGAAATCAAAGCTATCAAACTCGGGTGCATTGGCAAAGACAAATTTTTCCGGTGCTCCAAATTCGATTGCTGATTTGTTTTTCCTACCGGTTCTATTATTAGTTGGGAAATATTCGATCCCGCCATTTCTAGCGTCCACAGCGCCCAGCATGTTTCCTTGGTCTTTTATTTTGCACAGTCCAAAAAGATTTGTTCTCGTATGTCTGCTTTATTCCACCTTACGATTGTTTTTCCCGGTGTTTACCTGTTGCCTCTTTTCTTAGATGCGTCTGAGGAAGTCCCTTCTATGACTTGCCTTCTGAATCTCAGTGATACGAAAATTACGTTTGGGAAGAACATGCCTTCTCGTACTGTCAATATCTGCTCTTCTGCTGTTTTTTTGTCCGATCCACTTTCTGAGCATTGTCTACAATTACAGTTCCATACGCGTTCGAGGACGTGAAATGTCCGATTTGATTGAAGGTTGCTTTTGATATCTTTGGACTTGATTGTCTGTGTGTCTGCGGAAAAGGTGAAGTTGTAGAAGACACAGATGTTGTATTCTTCTGCTGTCGCGTCAAAAGCTATACAATAAGAGTATCTGTCTTTTTAAGTTGCTCTTCTGGTACAGAGGTCAGTTTGTATTTAAACCTCAAAACTGCAATAGACCATCTTGCTACTTAAGTTGGTGCTGGTTTTGCTATATCCCTGCTTGGAGCAAAGTAGTTCAGCAACGATTTGAACTTGTGATTTTTCCTTGAGTGTTTGATAGTGAACATGCGTCCGAGTAAGAATAGCTTCATTCGTGTCTCCGCAATTACAATTGATATAACTTCTCGTTGTCATCTTAGATAGTTATGCTCTGCTGCTGATAGCTTCCTCGAAACTTAGATCACATGTAATAAGGTTGTACAATTGGTTTTGAGCAATTTCTTTACTTGAGTTCCCGAAAAAATAAGGTATCTATCGATGCACTCCTGACTCTGTAAGCTCGTGAGTTGGCTGAAGTCGGTTCTTTCGTTCGTTCGTAGAAGTTCGCCTGTCCACTAAATGTTTGTATTTCGCTGAATGGTTTTTTCTATTTGTTTTTAATGAATGGTTTTAATCGTCTCTTTCGGTTTGGTTTCATAGTTTAATGTTTCCGAGAACCCCGTGTAAGCTGTAGAAGGTTGTCTCTGTGTTAGATAGTGCGTGGTTTTTGTCCTTTATTTTGCCATTGATGTGAGCTTCGTAGTTCTCACTGCCACGCGACCAGGAAGGCTTTGGTATCTCCTCCGAACTATTCTGGCACGAGTACACTCTGTTTGACCATCTCGTGTAGTTTCTTTTTTGAAGCCTCTTTCCCTATTTCCGGTAGCGTGCGTGCTTTGCTCGAAAGTCGTCACGCCTCGCGCTTCAACTCACTTTGATTTTTTTAATCTTTGGCTTTCCGCAATGACTCTCATAGCCCATATATCGCTGAGTTTGTGTCCAAGCGTCTAATGTTTCCGGCAAATTTCCGGCCAGTTGAATGTTTACGCTGGCGACTTACAAGAGTTGTGAAATCAAAACGTTTACTTTTTTCCCCGTAAACAACTTTGTCCACTGGATTTTCACTTCTACAGGATCTGTCAAGTTTAAATAAAAGACCTCTTCTACAGGATCTGTCAAAAACCACATAAGAGGTAATTAGCTTAATCCCGTTTTAGTTGTAATTATCTTGAAAAATTTCTTAATTTTGTTTTCAGTTTGTGGTTTTCGTCCTAGTTTCTTTCGGTTCATTTTTCCGTTTTTAAAGCCAATTTATCTGGTAGAATTCTTGTGATTTATTTTCAAAGCAAGGCTTTTGTTCCAATGTAAACAGTTTTAATTTATCTGAGTTTCACAAATTTTTAAATTAACCATGTCTGATTTTTATGATTATTTTTTCGTTAAATATTCAAACAGTTTCAGTTGGTTATATCGACTATGTCAAATTGTTTTGCGTTATTTCGAGGGCAAAATGTATCCATTTAAAATTATGTGTTTCAATTGGATTGGTTGTAAACACTTAATGTTTATGAAATTTTTTTATGACAACAGTTTTGTTTTCGGCTCAATAGGTTTCGATCCAAAGTTTCTCGCCTTTGTTGCCGTTAGCTAAGTGCTTTCTTTTTTAAGGGCTGTCAATGGACTACATTTGATACAAACATGAGTTTTTTGTTGCGGTTATTTTCCAACTTTTGTCTAGTTATTTTTCAAGTAATTTTTTCCAACAATTTTTCAGAACTTTACTTGCTTTTTTTATTCTCTATTTTGTACCGCAATGTGTATTTTGCATCGCAAGTGTTGCGAAGCTCCGCTTGGCTTCTGTGTGACGAAATGTTTCAAGGAATTTTTTGTCGGTTTTGTGGTTTTGGGCCTAGTTTCTGTCGGTTCGTTTCCCGTTTTTTCTAAAATTTAATACTGTTTTGTGGTACTGTTTTTTTGGCTTTTTTCTTGAGCATGAATTTTATTTTGATTTTGAAATTGTTTTGGAAAATTTCGGTTTGTTTTATGGTATAATTACCCTTGCGATAGTAAGGGTATTGCAATTTGGTATTGGACTTTTTTTTACCATAAACAACTTTGTCCTCAGAACTCATTGAACTGGTGGTGCTTCAAAATGAGTTCAAAATTTGTAGTGTCTCTTGATCGCTTAACCTAGTGGTAACGACTATGTCTTGGACGGCAAATTCCTGGGTTTGAATCTGACCTGGATCAGTTTTTTCAGACAGTGGTTTTTCTGCTTCAGAAAAAGTTTCGGTCCATTATTTGTCTGCTTATGTTATGTCGACTTCAAATTTCATTTTCCATTTTCGGCTTTTTTATCGGCTTTATAAATTTCAGCCTAATTATTATTGACTTAGTGGCCTCTTATTGCATCGTTACGTCCGAAAAATGTCTTTGTGCGCGAGTGTGTGCTCTGACTGGAAAAGGGACTGGAAGTTTTTTTATGTTTAGAATTTTTCCGAATTTCTTTTCGGCATGAAGGGTTACTTTACTGCTCAGGTTGTTTCGGCTTTATTACGGCTTGTTAATTATAAGTTCAAATCCAATCAACCATCCGGCGTATCTGGTGTAGAGATAAAAACAACTGCTTGAGATAGCAAAGATTTGCGGTTTGAATCCGCCCGGGCGCTTTTTTTGCAACCTAGAGTTTTTTGTGCTTTTTCGGATTATCGTCCGTCTGTTTATTTTTGTCTGCTTAGCTCCTGAGTTATGACCGATGGGTATAACTCATAGAATAATTTCGGATAGGGTACACCGTCTGCTCGTCACGCTATCTTATTTTCGGCCGGATAGATTCGTGCAACTTCTTAGTCTAATACCGATCCTAATCTTACTCTTATACTATCTAGTCTCAGGTTGTTTAACTAGTCTCTGCTAGGCTCAATAGATCTAGGGTATACTGGTTTATTGCGGCTGCTGAAGTACTCGGGAGAGTTCAACTAGTTTCTAAGTTAAATTCAAATCTCTCTGGTGCTGAAATTACAAGTAATTTCAGCACTTACAAATAAGTGGGTTGTTAGTTAGATGGATCATGATTGGTTAATATTAAATACTTTACATTGGTAAAATATCTAATTTATCCAATCATAAAATGTAGTTTAGATCAGGTTCCACCCATCCGGGTTTTACAGAGTTTTTAGAATAGTTCTTCTGCAATTCGAAGGATGGATGATGGACGTTGGTATTTGGCGAACATCATAATTTTCTTCCGTTTCCTCTTTGTTAGAGAAGTTCCAGGAAGCTGGAGTTAGGGACATAAGATGTTGTGTCTTCTAGTGACAACGACTAAGTCTCCGCAACAAACTCAAATCTGATTTCAGAATGGTTGGCTATGTCAGGTTTTTCTGTTCTTCGTGGAGAACTTCTTTTGTGTCTGATCTAGTTTGGGAATGGCGTGGAGATTGTGCGTGGAGGGGATGCCTGGTTACTCGGATCTGTACGTATACTTGAACATCGAGGTGGTCATTGGTCTAGTTCAATGAAGTCCTTTTCTGCGAAGTCAAGTCGTACTCTAAATCCTTTGAGTTGTGATTGTGAGCGGCATATCGATTGTAGTTGGCCATTCTCTCTCGAGTGTAGTGGGGTCGTTTTGTCTTTAGATGTTCGTCCTTGGTGTTGTATTCTGATCTATGTATTGCATAATGTAATTTACATTTTATAAAACTTTTATTAGTTTAATATTTTTTTTTATTATGGTTTTAGTTAGTTGTTTTCACAAAAGCTTTTTGTTTTAGTTCGGTTATTTTGAAGAGTTACTCACCCTTGAGTAGCTCTTATTAAAAATAGGAGTGTGGTCACAAAGCGTGGATGTAGCGCGGTGGGTTAGGCCGGCTATAGAGCATGCTCAGGACGTCCTTCCTGGTGGGTTAGGCCAGGAGTGGGAGTATGATTTCATGCGGTTTTTGTGAGGGGTCCTGTTATGTGACAACGTTTTATGTTGGGTTTGTTGTGGTTTTTTCTTATGTCTTGTTGGTTGTGTCCTTTTTTCAAAAATCAATTTGTTTGTGGTATGGGTTTGTCTTTCGACTTTTTTGTGTTTTATTATTTCTTTCTGAGACTTTATAATAGTCTTCAAAAGAATAAATTATCCAGTTTTAAACTGGGTTAATCCGGTTTGGGTACCGTTGGTTTCCTTTC